TTTTTCCAATCCTTGTGCGCGCGCTAAATTGCATCAGCAAAAGCGCGCGCGAAAACTGTGTTCGGCCACCTTAATAGGTGCCTGCAGGCAGATAGGTGCCTGTAGCAGATTGTATCCCGTTCATTGCAGGAGCCCATCACCCCGTTGAATTATTTACGCAACAGATCCACTTCTACAAAATGTGATGGGCTCCAGTTCGTGGATATTCTTTTTAACTCTCTCCTCCTGTCCGGCCCCGTCAAAGGCTCTGTTGGGGAGAATCCGCTGGACGATATGAGCCCTCGTTTCGAGGTCTGAGTCTGCAATCAAGTCAGTGGCTTATCCTAAGAAAATAAAATGGCGGCGATGGCGGCAAATTCAGATAAGGAGATGGAAGATGTTCGTCAAGTCTTACAGATGTAAGCTGAATGATTTTCGTCAAAGATTATAGTCTGCTGATTTAATGAACCTTAACTGTATTTCATTTATTCTTAATAAGACTTGAGGAGCAAATTACAAAGGCACACAAGCTCTGTTTGCAGAGACGAAAGGAAACTGAATGTTGTGTTCAGCAATGTCGAAATCTGCTGAAACCATGGTATGTCGATTTTTTAGGGAGATCTTCATGTGAATTGGAAATTTACGTTATCATTGCCTAGCAATAATGTTCTCAGTCAGTCTGGTTTAGCCTTTGTTTTTGCCTTTTGATCCACAGTGGAACCCTGCCTTTTTAATACCCGTTGATACGGCCACCTCGTTGAGGGGACATTGGGGGGTTCTGAACACCGCAATACCGCAAAAAAAATTCGGCAAATACCGCAATACCGCAAAAAAATCACAAAATACCGCAATACTTCAAGAGGGGTGCGTTGGGATTTGGCCAATTTTTGGTTCGGTTTTTCGGTTTTCGCACTTAAAAACTGCGGTTTTTCGGTTTTGGTGTCTTGTGCGGTTTGCGGGTTTTCTCCAATTCAGTCGTTGGTTTTCGGTTTTTGTCAACCATGATGGCGGTTTTTCGGATTTTTCTGTCCAATGCATTTTACGGTTTTTCTGGTTTGTCAAGGAAGTTACACCCTGCATTACCACTAAAACTTTATANGGTTTTTGTCAACCATGATGGCGGTTTTTCGGATTTTTCTGTCCAATGCATTTTACGGTTTTTCTGGTTTGTCAAGGAAGTTACACCCTGCATTACCACTAAAACTTTATAGACCATTTTACAGTTGTCTGCTCAGTGGCCTGGCCTTTGGATGGCAGCGAGGCTTGAGTTGACCTTGTTTTGATACAGACCTCACTGCTTTTGTTGTGTAAAACAAGTTGCTTTGGTGCTAACTGGGTGCATTTTCATGACAAAAGCAGTGAGGTCTGTATAAAATGGTTTATTCCAAGGAACCACTTATACAGCCTTCTACCCAGACTTTGTTTTAGATGATGTATGACAAGTCAAGTCTCTTTAATTTAGCAGCCGTTATCTGGGTCGTAAATGGCTGCCAAGCAGACTATGAGAAGCTAAAGATAACATCAAAACAAAAGACTATTTCTCAAATATCACGCGGCTGGGATAATATTGTGTGGACTTTGACCTTAGCCTGTGGACCATCAAGTTTCTATTAATAGCTTGATTGCAAGTTGTCTTCCCTTTTTGTCATCGGAATAACATTGTGCTCACTCACTCTGTTCACATGAAATAAAAGCAAAGGAGAGACTGTTTCGTTGTAAAATAAAGTAGTTTGGTTGTAAAGTGTGGCTGCCATTGTGCCTACACAAATGAAAATTCTGACCATGGCAATCAAAAAGCAGCTTCAGAATGTGGTGTTT